GTGTGTGTGTGTGTGTGTGTGTGTGTTGGACTTACAGTTGGCAGTTCAGACTCTGGTTTACGATGAGCCAGCAGTTTGTATGTCCTCAAGTTGTTTTCAAAGCTCCTGCAACACAACCGAAGACGGTCTGAGTCAAAAAGTTCAGGGATACTTTAAAAAAGTAATTTGTCAGGGTGTTTTGAAGCATTCATTTTACTATTCAGCAAATAACCKTTTGTTTACATCAAAGTTTTCAATTTTCTAGTTGTCCTGAAGCTCCTTAAATTACACAATACACACATCCAAATGTGTGGCACTACTGGCATTAGTGTGTTATGACCTTTAGTTCTAAGATATTGTACTAGGTGGACAAAATTTACAAAAAAAAAAGAACTTTCATGTATACAACAGTAGAATTTGGCAAAACAAGTACAGTGCTCTTTGGAGCTCTTTAGCTCAGTCATACTTCACAATAGAAACATCAAAGTGAAGAAACTTTGATGTTTTTTTTCCACATCCAAACTCACATACAGAACCCACTACCAAAGAACTTCCTTTTTTCTAAAAATCTTTGCCAAGTCAGTTAGGGAAAACATGAACTTGATGAACCTGCCACTTCARTAATATGCAGATTTATTTCAATGCAAGATATTCATGAAGTTAAAATAGATATTAGAACAGATGTAGATATTTCATTATACCTGCACAAAGTAAATACTATTCATACTAATACTCCAGTTGCTGGAAAACCTGTGGAGCCCAAGGAGTAAAGCATTTCCATTTGTTYTGGTCATGTCCTCTGATCAAAAATTTCTGGATTATAATTCATTCTTAGWTGGAAGCAATGCAGGTTCATTTTAACTGGGAGGAAATCTTTTCTGGACTTTGTATTCGATGGACACTGAAGCAGAGACCAAACATTTCATTGGTATTTTGTAGCTTGGCTGCTAGAAAAGATATTACTAAGAAAATGCTAAGTTCAAATGTCTTTTCACTGGATGACTGGCATTAGATTATTTATGGTTTGTTTATYATGGAAAGAAAAAAATTCTCCTGTAGATTTCAGAAAGACAAAACTGATGTCATGGGATAAATGGAAAATGTAACGTTTGATTGTAAAGAGCATTTACAATCAAACGTTACATTTTCAGCCRTCCAAACTTGGCAAAGATTTTTAAGCTCTTATTTCAACAATCTTTACTCATTTTACAGTTTAAACACCAAAGAGTAGATGTTTTTGTGTTCTTTAATCTCATGTCTCTTACTATTATATAACTTGTGGTTTTCCACACACACAAACACCCTTATCCCCACCAAATGTCCAGCTGTTCTTTTTAGATATTTCTCTTCATGTTTTATCAAAAAACAAAAATAAAACTCCACAAGTCTCCACCTCAGCTGAGCAACAACAAACTGCTTGTTATGGCTTCATTTTCAGGGAAATGGAAATTTTGGGATGTGAGATCAATCTTACCTGCCCCGAAGCTTAACAGCATCCTCAAACCGTTTCTGGTCCATGGCCTTCTGGACCTCTTGAGTCTGGGGGRAAAAATAAAATAAAATGACAATACAGTTTTTTGTTTCAGATTCTAGCAACAAAATGAAAACTGCATTTTTTTTAATTTATAGCAGTAGAAATCCATATCTGCTTCTAAAAACCTCTTGTCTTTGATTGACAGACATTTATTGTGGCTGTTGGRTGAACACAGAGGAATATACAGTATATAAAAAATATAGTAAAATGTGTTTCTGTCTGTTTAAAAAAAGGCTAATCTGTATTCCTGTTTGGAGGGGGGAAAAAATCCTTGGTGGGAAATTTTCAGACAACAGAAGCCAAAAACTTCCCACGGACATCTGCCAAACTCCAAACATGACAAGCCAGCATTTCAACAGAGCTCTCTGTGTTTTATGGAGACGCTCTTACATCACCGTGCTGGCAGTCATCACCAACTGTCCGCAAGCTTCAGATCATCATTAACCAGACAGAAATGATGCTCTCCTGTAAACACTACCACTTCATGTGCAGATGGCTGTGCTGTGACTCCATCTTTCCCTCATCAGCTTCTTTAYTGGTAACTGTGTGTGTGTGGTACTCTTGGCTTGTTCTCAGAGCTGCACTCACCGTCTGTACACACTCCATCAGAGGGACTCGTACCGACTGGTTCCCGCACAGAGAGACCACGCAGGCCGGCGTGTTGGCTGTGGTCTCCAACAGGGCCAGGACGGCCTCCACTCCCATACGACTGGCCTTTATGAGCAGAAAAACACAGGAACAGATCACAGGGCATCAGTAATGCTTTGTTGTCACAGTCAGTCGTACTCACAGACACATTCTGGATCCGGTTTATTTGTCTGGACTGGACTTTTCTGAGTTAACTCCTCTGTGGTATAGTAACCATGAAGAAATGTACCAGTGCAGCTTCATGTGCCGAGTMTTTTATCTCCTAATGTGATTAACCTATAAGCTGACATCATTTCATCCCAGACACATGTATAGGCCTAAAGAGAGATTTCACACATCATAGAGTGGGGTTCTGTGAACATTTAACATGTTACTTAATGTAGAAAGATTTTTAACATGCCCAGCTTGGAGAGAAAGGAGTTTATTTCTGACAAGATTCATGAGCTAAAGGCTAGTCTGAGCAGGGCCAAGAAAAAGAGTCATCTGAAGAGAACTTCAGTTTATAAAATGTTATAGTAATTTGTGTGAACATTTTTTATAAACCTTTATGTTACCATCCATTTTAGATTAAATGGTAGTTTAATAAAAACAGAGGCAGCAGCAGCTAGCTGTAGCATTTTCTAAGCGTCCTGAGGTACATCTTCCAGAAAAATAACGTTTCTGCCTAAATAAAAATAAAATAAAATAATGCCAATRTAAAGGCTTAAAAACAGTGTTCAAGTGAACAACTATAAAATATTTGACATCTGAGTCATTTAGTCAGAATTAAACTCTGCTTTGGAATTGCCATTTACAACAGGTAAGATATTCATTGTTCATAGCTAATACACTGAACTCTGCTTCCAAGTATCTAAACTATGGTATGTGACAGTTTGAAAGTAAAACTATTTACTATCACACTTTCAGGTTCAAAGCAATATTCCTCAGCTGCACTAAGACAACAACTAAAGAACTAAAAACAAAATAAAGTTGTTCACGGTTTATTTTTGTCATCAAAAAAATGTTTGTTTGCTTACTTTCTAATTCAACAAAAAAATCATACTTGGACAAATGGTATTACTGGTGTAGATGATGGAGTGAAGATACAATCAAAACTTAAATTAAATATTAAATATACTTTCATCACCCAAATAAGTGGTTGGATACGACATGTCAACAATTTCTGTAAAAAGTCTAAAAAAAGTCAAACTCAGTCATTTCAGACTGAGTCTCTCAAATGAGGCGTGTTGAAGCAGATAAATGTTTAAAACATAAGGGTGGTGACCTTCAGGATCAGGACTGGACTCCACTGATATAGATAATATTTGTATCATCCTCACATTTTTGACAAGACAAAAAACATTTTCTGTCTTATTTTAATTACAAGGAAAAAGAGAAGTATTAACAGAAATATAACTTCAGGCGTGTTCCCACTACTTTCTCTGAAGGTTCTGGCCACACACTTTAAGCTTCACTGTTTTAATAAACTTACCAAGATGCGATCAAATGCAGACGGTGTCCCTCCTCTCTGCACGTGGCCTAAGATGGTCACTCGTGTGTCGAAGCCTAAGTTTTTGACAACAAGCTGTCGGGATGAAACCCACAGAAGTCAGCAGCACGTACAGCCATTACTCTAAAATGAACTTTTATTGAAAATTGATCTTTATAACTCAATAAATATGCAAAAAAAATAAATAACATACACATCAAAACACTGGAACACAAACACAATATAAAAGCTGAAGAGAAGGGAAAACAGCAAAGCACAAGCAAGCCATTCTAATTTTTCAGTCATGTTAGCGGGGAGCTCAAAGCCCACAGAAGGATCCCAGGCAAGATGTAAACCAGTAAAAGAAATACTCAGGCAGGTACCGGTAAAACAAATTAAAACACTTTAATGGATACAGACCAGTTAGTTGTGACAAACTTTCAGAATCCTTCTGAGCAAAATAAAAGTGAGGGTGATAAAAACCAATAAAATGGTTTGCAAGCTTTAGTGAGCTTACAGCAGCTAAAAGTACAGAACCGTGGAAGCCCTCTTACCAAACCAGCAAGTGTGCCTGATAGAGCATTTCAGAAACACAGCAACAAAGTCAAAAGCCACACTGGGGCAGAGGCACACTAGTCATACAGGAGGCTGGAGGCTTGCTGCACAAAACTCTGTACTTACATTCTTAATATAGTCAGTGGTAATGGGCTTGTTGTTACGATTAATCGCCCCTTCGGCTACAATTATGATATTCAGCCTTTTCATCCCTGCACGGTTCTATAAAAGGAGGGTGTGGTGGAGAAAACATGACAGAAAAACAGAGTGTGGCTGTGACATGGGCTTTCAGAAGCACAGGGGCCAGATGAGATGACAGCCGGGGAGCCGAGGACAGATGCCTTCACAATAAAGGCCCTGCTGTCGCTACAGCTTCAGGCTTGTATAATCAGCAATGTCCTTGCTTTCATTGTTGCTCATCAACACATCATTATCACAGGATTAACACTTTGTCAGTAAAAGTGTAATAGAGAATATTCAGGACTATTGCAACTCGTGCTCGCGAGGCTGCTTTCCATCAGGCGGGGCTCTGTGCTTCTGGCTTCCCCTTCCTTCCACACTCGGGTACTCACATCCTTCACCAAATTAGAAGTGATAGGTTTCCCATGCCTGTCAATGGCTCCCTCTGCAACTATGATTATGTTGAGCCGTGTACCCCTGGAACGTGTCTGAATCAGATTATTGACATGTTTTTAAAGCATTAAAAAAACAGACGTGAGAACATTAAGTCGCTGGAAAAAGATAGTCCACCCTGTCAAAATTCTAGGGTTTAAGTTATCAGAACATAATAAACTGATCCAATCTTTAACAGGTTCTAAAATTATTCAACCTGCAGTAAAGAAAAAACACATCAATTACATCATGACATTACTTAAAGAAAAGTGAAGCTAAAAATGAAAAAAATAAAATAAAAGCTGCACCCACTCCCTGATCCAGCAGCTTGTAAAACCACTCAGTTTTCTGATTTTAGCAGTGGTTGTGGAGGAATTCTGAAAAACTCTTTACAACATTGCTTCAGTTCAATGTTTGCAGACAGAATCTGCTCTGCTCTCTAAGGTCCCGCCACAAGAGTTTAATCAAGTTAAGGTTCTGGACTTTGACTGGATTGCTGGAACACCTTTATGCTCCAAAGCAGCAAACTGAATTAACTCATCCATTTTTAGAGATGGTGCATTGATGATGCTGAGTAAATCAATGCATTTAATAAGCAGCACCTGGTTGTTTCTGAACCTCTAAAATTCTGTGAAAGCAGAAAGGCTGAATGCAGTTTTTGCAATGTTAGCCTCATATTTTTTTAATAAATGGTAAAATCTGTTGTGTGTTTTAAATAATAAAGACAAAATCTTTATTATTATATAAAGATACATAAAATCCTAGAAGTAAAAGATGGTGGATCTCCTTTATCTTAACCAATTTTACTTTTTTTCTAATAAAATACACTTAACTTCCTCCTTGGACACAGAAATAAAAGTGTAAAAACAGTTAATAAATGTAGAAATAATGAATACTGGTATCGTTTGATTCAGTAGGGCTAAGTTGGGGAAATCTGACTGAGTTACCGCTGATAGTTTCTGACACATCTTTTCCTCCCAGCCGTCCTCTGGAGGCATCTCAGGAATCAACACCCAGTCTGCACCACAAGCCAGAGCGCTCACCAAGGCCAGGTAGCTACAAAAACACCCAGACACAAAGCTTTGATGATAAAAAGAGGTGATACCAATCAACACCTCTGCCTTAGCCAATCAGATCTTTGGATGTGTTAAACAGTTTGTGTATTCTTACCCACAGTGTCTGCCCATGACCTCCAACACAAACGTCCTCTGATGGCTGAAAGACGAGAGGAGACAAGTCCAATTAATAAATAACTGGTGTCTTTAACAAGCCTGGAGTTGTTCCCCTCACCTCTGAGCGGTTGTCATAATTGCATCCACCACCTCGATGATCCTGTGCAAAGCAGAGTCGGTGCCGATCGTCATGTCGGTTCCACAGAAGTCGTTATCGATGGAGCCGACCATCCCCACAATGTGTAGGGCCGAGTACCTCTGAACAGAATCGGCTTCGATCAGTCCTGAAAAAACAAGAAAGTTTGCCTTAAACAGGTGTTTTTCTCTCCCACTGAGTCTGACAGGATTTTGATCCCATAATGCCACGGGACTAGAAACGTGAAAAGTTATAGACTTAAGACAAAGATTTGTTCCTTCATTACATCCCTTCCACAATCTAAATCCTGTACCAAAAACCTGTTTTAACAAAGTGACATACAACATCACCGGTAGAAACTAAAACATCCTCAGAGGAAATAAACTGCAGTTGTTCTTGTGAAAACACAGAACCAGTGTAAAGTCACTACCTTGCTCCACCAGCTCCGTCAGCAGCCCGCTCCACTCCTCTCTGAAGAGGTTGGCACCAGTCAGACTGCCGTCTCCACCAATCACACACAGGTTAGTGATGCCGTGCTGCACCAGGTTGTGGGCCGCCTTCAGGCGCCCCTCGTGGGTCCGGAAGTCTTTACAGCGAGCGCTGCCGATAACGGTCCCACCCTAAAGACCAAGCAGGAATAAAACGAATTTTAAAACGTGTATTTGGCTCAAATCAGCTGTTTTTCATTTAAAACTAATTTTTGTGCAGTCAGGGTCCCTTTAGACATGACATTATGTTTTAACTCACGACAGATTTCATACATTGCGTTACAAAAATGACCACTCCCTTGGTATTTTTCTATTTTGTTGCTGATAAATGGAATTATAATTTTAGCTTGATTATAATAAAATGACACAAAATGTTTAGGATTAACAAAGATAAATGTGGGAAAAAAACATTTTCACTAAGCCAGATAACTGAAAAATGTGTGTGAATAGGTTTTCACCCCTTTTCTCTGAAGCCCTAAATATCAGCATCCCCGCAGTGAAGCATGGTGGTGCCAGCATCATGATATAGRGAWGTTTTACCATCAGCATGGATTAAAGACGGAGCAAAATACAGAAAACTGTATGAAGGAAACCTGTTGCGGTCTATCAGAGATTTGAAACTGGGACAGAGGTTCACAATGACCTGAAACAGTCCAAAGCCAAGACCTCAGTCCACCTGAGAATCTGGTTTTACTTAAACGTTGTTGAACACAAGCAGCATCTAAACAAACGGAAGGAGCTGCAGCAGTAATGGACAAAAATTATAGTGGTTAACTCATGGACACACTCCTGAAAAGCTGTAAAACTGCTGAAAAATGGGCTCTACAACATTATGGGTTGATGGGTTTGAAAACATGTAGGCACAACTTTACAGTTTTATACATTTTACTTTTTTCCCCATCATTTTATGTCATAATTCTGTATTTTGTGCAAACTTACACTTACAGTAATTTAGATTCTAAATTGTGACAACATAATTTAAAAAAATATCAAGGGAGTGAACACCAAGAGTTCGCTTCATTTAAAAATAATGAAACTAAACTGTAATAAAATAAAAAAAGAGAGAAACTGTTTGTAAAAGCCTTGTGTGAAATGCTGCTCATAGTACGAACGCACCACTTGTAGCATACTGGAGACACTTTCCCACGTGGCTTCCTTTATGTTGTCCCCACCATCCACCATACCTTGATATCCCTGGAGAAAGGAAAAGAAAAAAAATTCAGTAAGTTCATATCAAAAGGACAAACATACATCGAGTTAAGTTGAGTGAAGTAAATCACAATAAGATGTTTTAACAAAACAGTGCACTTCTTAAAGAAGTTTACAGCTGTCCATCCTCATTCTGTGAGCAGTAGGGTTGGGCAATATTRGCAAAAAAATTAATCACGATTAATTGTGGTATTTAGCCGATRACRATWAATTTGACRATTAATCCCYCAGAGTCCCTGGACACCCTTATATCCTAGTCACATGACCAATTTATAGGGAGAAAATTGGCTCTTYGTAAAAATCTGTTCCAAATTGTGTCGAAATTACAGACTTCAGGCTATACATCAAACTTTAAATTGTGTTGATAGATAAATAAATTACACAATTTTTTTAATGTTGGTTATATTTGAATCAGAGAGGAACACCAAGCGGTTAGTCTGCCAGGTAGCATTAATCGTATTAATTGTCAACTGCCAAAAATTAATCGATTAATGTTTTTCTGACGATTAATTGCACACGATACGATTATGCCCAACCCTAGTGAGCAGTGATGTGTGTGGCAGCACACCCACAGCGCTGCGCTGCCAGGGGAGGAGGGTCACATGAGGCATCAAGCTGAGACCTCAAGTCAGTTACGTAACAGCATGCAAAGTCAGCACGTACACCCATGTACTGACATCACTGCCCTGCTTTCACTTCCTAAGTCGTGTCATACATCTGCTGCAGGCAAAAAAAAAACATTTCTGCATTTAAACACGAACGACTGAGATAAAACAGTGCTGCATGGTTTGTTGAAAACACCCAGGAGAAAGGTTTGCAGAGGTTGTTTTTTTCCTCTCACAGTTATGCACACGAGGCTGATTGGTGATTCCAAAGTGGTTGTGAGTGTGTGTCACTTGGGTGGCAGGGTGGGTGGGTTCATAGTGGYAACGAGTTCAGGGTTTCTGCATGGTCCCCTGTTTAAAAAGACTTTTCCCAACTCAAATTTACACACAATTTTTGGACCAACTTTTAACGTCCAAGTCCAAACAGTTTCTGTAAATATACAGTACCTACTTACTGTACAAAAAAAACAAAAAAAACCATGGAGGACAAAGAACATTACCTCTGGAGAAAAGCCGACTGATTTTTTTTAAAACAAGTTTATGTTTTTAATAACAGGTTTTAAATAAAAGGCAGAACCTAAAGACCCTCTGCCAGCTAATAGATGGATGCATTAATGGAAAAAACTGTGTTGCATTGTCACTGTAATGAATGTGAAGGCTCACCTCATGAATAAAATAAACTTTGGCGCCCACGTACAGACCCATTCGAACCACAGCTCGCACTGCAGCGTTCATCCCTGCAGAAAAGGAGAATGCAATCAACGAGAAGAACAACCCTAAACACAAAGCAGCTTTTGTCCAGGCTTTAAAATGACACGGCACCATGTGTGTTTGTGCAGACTTTCTGCGTTCATTCTGTTCTCATCGCAGACCATTTTTGGTCAAAACCTCTACCAGCTCCTCCTCCTACAGCCCTTCACTTTGCAGTCAGTCCAGAGAGAATGTGTTCACTAAAAACAYTCGGGCTCTGTGATCTGAAAGTCAATACGGCAGGTTGAGCTAGAACACCGACAGCGAGGACAAAAGATGATACTTCACACATCACAGGACAGGCAGAACTTGGCTGCGTTAAAGCGCCCTGAATCAACAACGTTCTCAGAAACCAGCCGACTGCAGCTTTGTTGTTACTAAGCAACAATGGATCAGGACGAGAGAAAGAACAGCTCCACAACGTCTGAAGAACGACCGCTTACCACCTCTTTAAAAACRTATCACATGACAGTTTAGCTTGGTGGAACTGAAATACACATGAAGAAGTAAAAGGCACAGATAGTACTGATCGGAAGCAGCAAAGCAACACAAACTTTAGAGAAGGATTAACTGTGAGGAGCAGCAACCCATGACCTATTATCTTCTTACATAATGCAGAAACACACATTTGGCTTAAATCACCAATTCAGAACATCAGAGGTACATTTCATTTGTCTTCTTTAAAGTTTTACAGTCTCCTTGTTTAAGCCTTGCTTTCTGTATGACTGGCACTTTCTTCAGCACAGTGAGCAGAAAGACTGAGCCCAAAGCTACACAATGTGCTCTCCCAACGCTCAGCTTGTGGCCTGCATGCAACTTGTTTTGGCGTCTCTTCGGAGCCTTTCCCTTCTCCTTTTCTTCTCCTTGTGTGCATGTATTTTAATGTTAAAGCCTGCAATTTTTTTTTGGAACTGACAGGTTGACCAATTTATGATAATATACTTTTCTTTCAATCAGGAAATAAATAAGATGATGTTATGTTTCATCAGATGTGCCCACTCATGTTTAAAAGCTGGTTTAATCCCGGTGCGTTTTCCCAATCATAAATGTAYCAGAATGTGTTCGTGCTAAGCGTTTGGATCCGTTTCAGCCAATGAGAGACGAGCCGGTAGATCACGTGACCAGAGATTCCTCTCTGACGCACAGYCTGACCGGGTGCTGCTCATCACGTACACAGGATGCAGGCATCCCACCGTCGGCCCGCGCTGGTGCTGCCGAAACCTCCGGTCTCATCTCACTGCGTTTTATCACAGCTTCTCAGGAGCTGCCTGCGTCTCGACAGGCGAGCAGCGGCGCGGCGCCGTGCATGTCAGACACTGGCACTTCCTGTTCATAATTAGCTAACACAACATGACGTTATAATTATCAAAGCGCTAACCATTCAGCGATAGTATTGCCAGAGACCGCGAACAGGAAAACATGGCTCAGGTTGACCTTGACATCTTCCTCAGCTGCTCAGGGACTAAGTTTTGATGATGCTTTAAGCCGGAAAACAAGATGCGTCATGTTAGCATGGCAGCTAGCTACCGGCCTTTATGGAATGAATGCAGTTTTACTGTAACTGTACTTCACGCTATATTTTAAACACGTCATATAATATTTACAGACACGTGTCCATCACGGGCATCAAAATTACAATGGTGGCAGCGTGTAATTTCATCATCTACAGGCCTGTCCGCGCTAACACTCAAGTATATTTCTCTGAAATCTCCTGCGTGAGTATTTTTTACCTTGAGCATCCCCACCGCTCGTCAGCACTGCGATGGCTTTCCCTTCTCCCGACAGGTTTTCAAAAAACCTTTTCTTGTTGTCTGGGTTCGCCATTTTCTCAGTGATTCAATATTTATCCAAGTCAAACGAAACAAAAAAATATATATTTATACTAAAACGAGGGGGGTTAAAACTGGTTGTACAACGTGTACTGGAATGATGAAGGGCAACTGTCTTCTTCAGCCCCCTCGTCTCTCCTTGTTCCGCATCTAACCGGTGATGAGCGTGACCGCAGTGTTTGACGTACCGCCGGGCCAATCAAATGTCCGCATAGGGGCCCCAGCTTGAGTTTGTAACCAATTAGAGAAGCAGAACTCGTGTGGGCGGATTGTATCCAGGAAGGCGTGTGGTTCATTCTGACTCAGTTTATTGAAGCTCGAATTCAACAAAGTTTTTCTGTTGTTCATTCTGAAAAATAACTGGTAGGCCCGCTACAACAAGCTTACCTGCTACACAGAGGCATTATTATTATTATTATTATTATTATTATTATTATTATTATTATTA